TAAAGATGGTTAATAAACCTACGGAGACACATTTGACCATTATTTAAAGGAGATGAAATGTGAATTTATATTTAAAATGGAAAAGATAAAAGATTTCAGAAAAGTAGCATTTGATTATGTCTCATTCTGTATACTTGGCAGTTTTCTTTTTGCATCCCTGTATTAAAATTGCATATCTCTATTTTAATCACTTTACATCTTTATCACCGTCTCCTCAGTGGTCTCATATCATTATCAGTTGATCTGGTCACACTGTGCATCATTCCTCGCCATCTGTTCCTATTAATACTTCCTCCTCTAATTTCTTACTACATGAGACTGAAATGATGTAAAGAAAAAAAAAACTCTCACTCCTTTTTTCTTTTCAACTCTGTTGTCCTGGTTTCTTTCTTTTCTCTCTTACCCTTCACTCCAGCCAAAATGGTGATTCACAGTAGTCACAAAACAAATCAGTTCTCATTGAGCAACCATTCTTTTTCTACCACGTGCTAGGTATCAGTGGCTAGAGAGAAGGTATCAACAAAGAAGGGATGTGTGAGTGTGTAATTGTGGTCTTTGCTTCATGGTCCCATTGGAAGTGTAGCATGTTCATTTTCAGGGTAAATTTACTCCAAAAATGTCTTTTTTACCTTTCACATCTCAACTCCCTCAGCATGTTTCTCCAGGCCGGAATCCTTGTTTTCTCGCCTTTTCTTTCCAAAGACATACTCTCTTTAAGACATCTCATTCAGTTTGATTCTTTAGTTTGTCAAATTTCAGTTTGTTTAGATGGGAACAATATTGATACTGAATGTAAAATAGGTAATGATTCACAATATGTTTTGATTTTGTTGCCTATGGATTTAAGGAATTAATTTGAAACACCAGTTCTGTTTGAAAGAGGATTTCTAAAAGAGATGGTATATCACAAATGAAAGGTTTATTCCACTAGTCTATTTTTAAAGAAATCATTGTTCTATGGTTGAATTTTCTTCCTTTCATCTTTGGCCAGATATAACAAGTGACTTTTATGTTATTTCCTACTTTGTCTTTAGTGTACTATATTTTTCAATTAAAAAAAACACACTATTGTTAGGTCTGCCGCTCTTTAATGAATCATTGGATTAGAAAATAACTCATTATATCATCAGGCAGAGATACGTTCCTTTATTTGAATGTAGATAGTGAAGATGAATAATTTATCAAATGTTATTAGTGCAGGCTGCATATTACTGGAGTCTCAGCAGGATATAATGAAATTTGTCTCATGCTAGTATGAAAATAGCATGCCTTTGCATAGTCATTATTGAACTTTTGGCATCTCTCAGAGAACTATTAGGGTATCATGCCAATCTTGCTCACCTCTTCATTAACTGGACTTTTGACTGAAGAGTTTAACTTATCTTGAAAATCTGTGGAATCTGTTATGCCAAATGCTTGCTTGACTCTGGCGTGTTTCTATGTTAGTGCAGAAATTTTCAAAATGAATGAAATGCTTAATGTTTCTTATTAAAGTGATTAGTGCAAAAAGGCTATGACTGATGATTTTATTACTTCTGGTCATGAAAAGCTGTCTGTACAGGAGACACTTAAGCAATGTATCTTTCTGAAATGAGGAGTGATGAAATGTATATAATTACTTAGAATCTTATATCTGTACTAATTATGTATTTGAAGTTATCTTAATTGCTTTTAAAAAATTGCATTTCATTTGCTTCTGGCATGATTGCATGAAGAGGTCAACAAATCTTCTCCCCAAAAGCAATGATGAAACTGGACAAATGGTCAAAAACAAATTATGTCAGTACTCTGGAAATCCACTAAACACATGCAATAAACTGAGATGTGTATATTCATGAAAGCAACTGAGCTTTGGGTAAGAACTGTGAGTCTGTGATGTTGATGCTGAGGCTGTTCCCATTTTCCATCCTCAACTCTGTGGGCGAGGTCGTTCAACTAGGGCAAAGCAGGCTTTGAAAACCAGGAGCTTTGTTGCTGCTCCTGAGGCAGCTCAGTTGATGTGGAGAACTGTTAGGTACAGTGGAGACTGTGATGGCAAATGACAGGGAAAGTATGCGGCTCTAGTGGACTGAAGTTGCTGGCCTGTTTGGTGCAAGCAATGGACTGGTGGACTAGCCAGGGATTTAACAGGGAATTCTGGGAGATGAGGCAGCAATAGGAGGCTTAGGAAGCTCTCCACATACCTAGAGTTGACTTGAGTTTGTGCACATGCACAGCTTTATAAGAAAGCTAAAGAAAGTTCTTCAGGCAGAAAGGAAATGGTACTAAATGATAACTTGAATTCCAAGGAGCAATGAAAAGTGCTAGAAATGACACTTATTTGGGTATATAAAAAGTAGTCTCTCTATATTTTTTTCTTATTTTAAAAAACATACAACTATATATAAAACAATAATTATAGCACTATATTTTTGGCTTTACATTGGTCCCCCCTTAACCATGGGGGATACATTCTAAGACCTCCTGAAACCATAGATAGTATCCAACTCTATATATACTATGTTTTATTCTGTGCATACATATAGCTATGATAAAGTTTCATTCATAAATTAGGCACAGTATGAGATTAACAATAACAATTATAAAATAGAACAATTGTAACAACATACTGTAAGAAAAGTTATATGAACATGGTCTCTCTTTTTCTCAAAGTATCTTATTATGCTTACTAACTTATGAAACTGGAAAGCAAAACCACAGATAAGGAGAGACTACTGTATACAACTATTTATGTTAATATACACCACAACAATAGTACAGAAGAGGAAGAAGGAAAAGAAATAGCACTGGGACAACTGAATATTCATATGAAAAAAATGACCTTAAGCCTTTACTGCATATTAAATACAAAAAGTGATAAAGTAGATCCTAGACTTAAATATAAGAGCTAAAACAATAAAACATTTAGAAGAAAACATAGGAGATATCTTTGTGGCCTTGGGATAGGAAGAGTTCTTAGATGTGTCCCCAGAAGCATGAGCCATAAAAGAAAAAAGTTGATAAATTGAACTTCATTAAATTGAAAAACATTTACTTTTCAGGAGACACCACCATGAAAGTGAAAATATAAGCCACAGGCTGAGAGAAAATATTTATGAATTATATCTGATAAAGGTCCTATAACCATAACATATAAAGAATTCTTACAACTTAATAAGACATACTCTAATTAAAATATTGGCAAATACTGGAGTAAACATTTATATTAGGATTGATGTGATGTGTATACAGAAAGAGCTATATTATAAGGAATTGGCACACGCAGTTACGCAGGCTGAGGAGTCCCCAGACCTGCAGTGGACAAGCTGGAGACCTGCGAGAGCTGATGTGTAGTTCCAGTCTGAGTCCAAGGCCCGAGGACCAGGAGAGCCAGTGGTGTGAGTTCTAGTCCATAAGCTGGCGGGGTTGAGACCCAAGAAGAGCCAATATTTTAGTATGGGTCTGAAGGCCAGAATGGACAAATTTTCCAGTTTATACAGTCAGTCAAGAGGAACTCACTTAGCCTTTTTGTTCTGTTTGGGCTTTCATTTGATTGGTGAGGCCCATTCACATTGGGAGGGCAATTTGCTTCACCCATTCTACCAATTCAGATATTAATGTCATCCAGAAACATTTGCAAAGACCCAGAGTAGTGTTTGGTCAAAATGTCTGGACACCCTATGGCCCTGTGAAGTTCAAATATAAAATTAACCATCACAGCATTTTACTGAACAAGAAATACATTTGGCTAATAATCGCATGAACATGTGCTCAACATCATTAGTCATTACGGAAATACATATTCAAACCACAATGTACTAATACACACCCATTTAGAATGGCTGTTATCAAAAAAAGCCATGATGTGTTGGCAAGGATATGAAGAAGCTCAAAACCTCATACATTGCTGGTGGGAATATAAAATGGTACCACCACTTTGGAAAACAGTTATTTTTTAAAAAGTTAAGTTTATCACATGACCCAGCAATTCTACTCCTAGGAATCTATCTGAGAGAAATGAGAATGTATGTCCCCATGCAAAGACTTGTATGTGAATATTGATAGAAGCATTATTATAATAGCTATTAATTGCAAAAAATCCGGGTGTCTATCAGCTGGTCAGTGGATTAACAAAATATGCTATATTTGGTATGGGAATGGAAATGCACTATAATAAGCTTGAGGGAATTTTTTTTGGTGTGATGGAAATGTTCAAAAACTGGGTTATTGTGATGATTGCAAAACTGTATAAATTTATTTAGAAGCATTGAATTGTGCTCTTACAATGGGAGAATTTTATAGACTATGCCTCAGTGAAGTTATAAAAATAATGTCTGTTTATAAAGAGCAAATGACAAAGTAAATATGGTAAAATAATAATTAGGGAATCTGAAGGGTATGGGAATTCTCTGTACTATCTGAAATTATTTCAAAATTTAAAAATTCTGTAGCACTTAGAAGTGGTCTGATTTCCTCTGGTAACATTTTGTAAAAAGAAGTTTAAAAGTTTTGTTTGTTTAAAAAAAAAAAATCCAGCCCTGAAGTGCCATTTTTATCTCAGCTTTTTGATTCTTTGCTTCTTTGATTTCTTATTTGCTTTGCTTTGAGCAGATACTCTGATTTTGCTTTTTTTTTTTTTTTTTTTTTTAACTAATTTTTTCTGCAGTGCAAACAGGCCCAGCACCCAAGTGAACCCTTCCTACTACACACACGTCTGGTCTGTGCTAGTGAGCATTCATACTTGTGGAACAATATTTTGAGGATATTTCAGTTTCTCTTTCTCATCTGTGCAATATAAAAGTGCAAATATTAGAAACAAAGCACTTTTGCTTGTAGTTCTTGAACACAGCTGTTTTTCCTTTTGACAGTATTTTTTAGGCTTAAATAATCACATATTCTCTAGATTGTTTTTTTGTTATCCATAAAAAGAAAAAGTTAAATGCAAGCATTAACACATTTGTTGAAAGCATTAAATTAAAGGGAAGTGTGTGAGTCATGCTATTTATGTGCTTGATTTGAAGGTCACTCTGTGAGACTGCTGGGTCAGAAAAAGGATAATGGAAAGCGGTTGGGGGGAGCACGATTGGATTTGCCCAAGATTAGGAAGAATCCACTGATAGAAATCGTTTCCATCAATACTGGGTAAGTGTCTCTCAAACTCTCTCATAAAATATTCAGTATATGCCATTAATTCAATTTTTTTCCTGAACATGTGACATAGAAAAGTATTTGAACATTTTCTTGGGAAAGAAAAATCACAAAAAGCTCCAAAGCACTTGAATATAGTTCCTTCTGAAATGTTCCCCGCATGTAAATTACACTTAAATTTGCAGCAGGGTTTTATACCTTTGATTAACATTATTCTTCTTATTTTTAGTAGTAAACACGGATTTCATTTTCCAGCTATGCCCTTTGTTAAAATCTTTGAAAAAAGAATATTTTATTCTGTTAAATGGTTAACAGACTTATCATCTTTGAATGTTTTCAGTAGGGTTATGGTAAATGTTGCCCGAGACATTAACCATGCTTTGATTATTAACTATAGGAAATGAATATTTTAAAATGTTATTCTTACGAGTTTTAAACTAAAAAAAAGCATCATGACTGAATATTAAGCACTCTTTTAATTTCCACACCTTGGACTAAAGTCTTTTCTGGTTATAACTCTTGGTATACACATTTTATACTTTTTTAAATTTGCATTTATTGAATTTGAGTTTTTTAGATTATAATTCCATCTGAAAAAAAGTCACTTCTCCCAGAAAATTTGATTAGATTAAGAGCTTCTATTCCTTAAATCACAAGGAATGCCTACTTACCCATACAGCCACCTCTCATTAAATTTAAGCTGTTTTGCTCTTTTTCGATTTGATCTTCCCTCTTATTTGAAGTTCTCTTCCTGTCCGTTTCTTTCTTCACGCTGCTTCCCATTGAGAACAGGTGAATTTAACTTCCTTCTCCAGTATCTGCCTGTCTCTAAATCAGCACCTTCATTTCCTCCTTAATGATGACAGCTGTGTTGTCATCGGTCATCTTTTCTCTAGTCTCACCCCTTCTGGTTCATCCTTCCTACTGCTGCCAACCACTAGAGAAGGTTTAAGAAGTCATTTGGTTTTCCCTGAAAAGCGCCATGGGATGGCATTCGCTTGACTTGGTGGGTTTGTTGTGGACCAAGGTCTGGCCTTCAGTGTTGAAGATTCAGAAACTTGGCATCATCAAGCCCAGAAACTAGTGATTCAACCAGAATTTAACAGTGAGAATTGTAGTTGTCATAGTTGTCACTTGACTGGAGTACCTAACATTTTCTTTCTAGCCTGAACCAAATTATAAACACAGGACCACAGAGCTGTTGGCTTTCTCTTGTGTCTCAGTTATTCTTTCCCCTTTCTTCACACATTGTAGTACGTTTCCCCCCAAACTTCTGATTTTCCGATTTAAAACTGCAGCGATCCTACATTGCTTCTGTTTTACATTTGCCTTATTTTCCTCTGTAACTTTCATTACTATTACAATATATATTTATTAGTATGTTCATTTACATTTTAATTGTCTCTCCTCACTGGCATGCACTCTCCATGAGGGCAGGGACTTTGATTATTTTACTTACCACTGTATCCTCAGTACACAGAAGAATGCACACAGTAGGATTTAATACATATTTCTTTATTGAACGAATGATTCAGTTATGTAATTCGGAAGTTTGATGGGACTGTGGTAAATTCTTTTCGCAGTTCAGATTGCTTTGCCATGGGACAGTAACACTTGGAGTCTGCTGGCTAAGCATACTTTCTCCTGAACAGTGCCCCCCCCCCTTTTTTTGGGTATGTGCAGAACTGATCAGCCCTCTTTTGGCTGGGCACATTTCTTTAAAATGTTAATATTTCAGGGTTTGTCAAACCCTATTACATTAGGCTCCATTTGGTCTTGTCAAGGTGACTTTCCAGCTACTTTTGACGTATTGAGTGTCTATTTTAACTGTTTATTTTTCTAGACCCTATGTACTTCTTCATTTTGCCACTCCCCACCTCACTCACACTCCAGTATTCAGTCATCTAAGCCTGAACTATTTGAAATTCTCAAACTCCAGGTTCTTCTCTGTCTTGACTCCAGGCCCTCCTGCATGCTGAAGGGGTTCCCTGGCTTGTCATTTCTTTCCCCATTCGCCTCGTCAGTGATCCTTCTGTACTCAGCCGTATGCTCCTGTCTTTGGGTGGCTGTTTACTTCTCCCTCCACAGCTGGGCTAAATCCATTCCTCTCTCCAATGTGCATCTACAACATTCCATATTTATCCTGATTATGGCACTTCTCAGACTGTATCATTTATTTATATTTCCCACTAAATTGTGAGGTCCTTGAGTACTGAAGGTATTTCAATTATCATTACATTATGATCTCCGAGTTCAGTGTTCATTGCGGAGTAAGTACAGCTGTCCCTTAGTCTCCGCAGGGGATTGGTTCCAGGACCTCTGCAGATGCAAAAATCTATGCATGCTCAAGGCCCTTATATAAAATGGGGTGACATTTGCGTATAACCTACTCATATTCTCCTATATACTTTAAATCATCTCTAGATTACTTATAATATATAATATGATGTAAATGCTAGGTAAAGAGTCGTTATACTATTAACATTCGTATTTTGTATTTTTATTTTTTTTTTATCTTTTTGATATGTGGTTGGTTGAATCTGTGGATGTGGAACCCATGGATACAGAGGGCTGACTGTACTGAATAAATATTTGTTCAATAAATGTTTTATTTTAAAGCTATTATCATTTTTGTACATTATACATTAATTAAAAATTAATTTTAAAATTATCTTTTAAACATTTATAATTTAAAATTTTCATCCATATAGTCTGGAATTGAGATATGAGTTTCTGTCCTTCTCAGACTACTGATCGTTTTCCTGAATCATTTGCAGCCTTACCATTTAACGCTCCAATGAAAGTATCCCCATGAGTAGCATTCTATAACATTTTAGCTGGGATTTCATTTTTTTTACTGCTGGTGGAGCTCACTGTTATTTTTCATTTACTTTTGAATGTTTTAAAATGGTTATACTTATTATTTTTCAGTAAAAAATTATCCTTATCACTAAAATCCTAACACTTTTCAAAGTTTTATTGCTTTCAAATTAAATGTGGAGATAAGCTTCTATAAATTTTCCACTTTTCATTTAGAAAAAGGGTCCCATTTGTAGCAAGTTTTATTATATGTGTTAGTAAGTTATTGACATTACCATCAGACTGTGCAGTTTTATGCTTTGTTATATTTCTAACTTAAAATATAAAAGGAGTACTTTAGTTTCTTTAGACAAGAATGAATTTGAAAATTTCATATCATCCTAAATTTGGATGAGCACAACAGGATCAGGTATGTATGAATATTTATGTAGAGGTAGAAAAAAAAGTGTCAACCAAGTGGTTGGTGTAATAGGGAGTGAACATGTATGTAAACAAAAGAAGCCAGGGGAGGTTGAAAAGCTCAGTTTTGTCAGTGTCCTCGTTTGTGTGATTCCCTTATTTTTTCTAGCAGTGGGAATGGATTGCGGAGACAGAAAAGTAGGGGGTAATGTAGGGGATGAAAGTAAAAAATTGGAAATTGGAGCATAAAGAAAATTGGTGTTTTATTTTGCCTTCTCTGTCACTATTAAAGTCGTAGTTTTTGACAGTCCCTTGGCAATTTTCGTCTCATTTTGTAGATACACCTATCAGATTATTTCTGGTTTGAAGGTTTGAAATCCTCCCTCGGGCTAAACACATCTTAGAAAATACTATCTGACCCTGTAATACTTTACTGATGCTTTATCTTTTAACATTTATCTTTTTTTTTCCTTATTCTTTCCCATCAATCAGACATAAAATGATGGTATATGGGAACCTTTAAGGGGAATCTAATTTTCTTTGAGATTATGTACTTGAATTTATTATCTCTTTTTTAACAGTATTTACTCTACTACCACCACCCCCCTCCCCCAACATCCTAGCTTTGGGAAAACTAACGTGGATGTTTTCATTTTCTTCCTATAATATCCAGAATTTATCAGTCTCTATTCCAGTCCTAGATACACAGGCTCTCTATAGATATTTGAATGTATGAATGAATAAATGAAAGAACAAGAACATAAATTGATCTCACGTAAGTGAAGGTGTTTTTAGAGAAATATAATTGCTACTGATAGCATTTTGTTAGCTTTCTGGTTCTAATGATTGAAACACGAAAGAGTATTTAACAGATACATTTGAAACAGTACATTTGAAAATATAATTATTATGTGCTTACCACATTACGAAGTACTGTGTTAGGCATTATGATACAAACAAAGGTAAATAAATGTTTCCCAAACCACAGGTAACTGTCATGGATTGAAATAATCAAAACATGCAGCTATAAACATGGAGTTAACTGCAGCTCCTGTATGAGGAGGATTTGGATCTCATCTGGTCTATGTTTGGGGGAATGCTTTTAGGTCTCTGCATGACTATCTTTCAGGGGTGAGAATACTCAGCAGCGACTCCTTAGACCTCTCAATTTAAGAGCTGCTACATGCTCAGATGTCCTCTGACTGCCCCTCTCTATGAGATGCAGTGTCAGCAACATAGTAAAAAGGGCTGCTTCTCCTTGACCTCTCTCATCAAACCAGACTACTGCCACCATCAGTACACATGTGGAAAATATAAGCCTCAAATACTATCTTTTTATGTTAGTTTTAAATTATAGCTTTCAGAAAATTACATTTTATAGAAAAACTATTTTTGAGGTATTTAATTAGAAATATTTTTTAAAAACTTGGATTGACGTTCCAGGGAATTAGAAGTTTGAATATATGTGGTATCACACTTATACTATAGTGAGTATTTTTAATATGTTGGGATTTCTTATAATCCTTTTGAAGAAGACTATACATTTTAGTATATTCAATACTGATTTATTGAGTCCTTACCTTATATCTTAGCATGGTGCCAATAACCAAAGACATTCTTATATTTTCAGTTCATACTAGACTATTGTTCAGATATTCTGATTATATAAACCATGGCTCTATTCTGAATCTACTCACTTGAGGGTAGCTCCTTCAGCCTCATTGCTATCCTCAGAGACAACTGTTAAATCATGACGTCTTTGTCCAAGAGGCACT